TCAGCTTATCAGAATCAATAAGACGTATAAAAAGAGAGAGCGAGAGAGCGAGAGAGCGAGAGAGATTGAGATTCATGTTGTAATCATTTATTGCTTTGTATGCCTGATTTGGGAGTTTTGCCTATCACTGATTTGCAAAAATGAGTATAATCTATGTCCATTTAGTACTGAAACTATTCCTGGAAGCCCTGACAGAGTCACATAATATAGTGATAGTTCTGATTAAATTGATAACATCATTTCCTTTTTAGAAGCTAGAACATCTCCTATAAATCTTTCGCTTCCACCTTGTCTTTTTGTGTACTCTTTCCTCTTAATCTGTTTTATTTTGTTTTTTTAATACTGTATGAGAAGTAAATCCACTTTCGGAGACTCATGGTCATTAGATTTCCAGCTCACATGGAAACTTACTAGATACACTTCTTACACATGTTTATAAGGTGGGTGTAACCACAGGAAAGCAATATCATTTCAATATTGTATAGTAGAATATAATTATTCCAATTGGACCAATATGAAATAAAGAAGGAAAGAAGACCTTACAGCCAAAAGTAAAAAGAGACCTTATAGGTTAGTGAAAATGCTAATATATGCAAAGTGTAATCACAGCTCATTCCCATTTCTAAGGAAGAGAATTAACTTAGTTATGTAAGCTGCTCTGGGAAGTCATTATAAAAGTAAAATCAGGAATTCTGTGAAGCAATTTGCTTGAGAGTATAATGCTATTATTTTTACTGTTGCTTGTCTCTTTCAAGCAAAATTTCCTCTTGGCCTTAAATAAATAGTAATCGCATCTGCATGATAATGCAATGCGCTATGTAGAATATACATATTACAGAATATTCTAGAGCATTTTCTATTAAATCAGTGTTTTTAAATCGACCCATTATGTGAATGCTTACCTACTTTTTTTTTACTGTCATAAGAGTAAGTTATTTCAAAAATGGCCTGAAGGAACATAATGTGCTGAAAACAATGTAGCTGTATTGTTTGTAAAAAGGATTCAGATGCAGACTCAAACATGCTTCCCTTCCAAGCCAACAATGTTATGAGTCTGGGCTGGGCTCCTAATTAGCATACTACTAACCATTCTTTCAGGATGGTTCTTAGGGATTTCCAAAGAGGAGGAAGACAGGAAATAACCACCAGAGAAACTGCTCGGCAGGACTTTTTCCCTCCTCCCATAGCCATTGTTGCTGTGGGTAAAAGGATATGGGAAGGAATGTGGCAACCACTGCATAAACATTCAGTTTGATTGTTGCATTCCTCTCCTTGCTGCAAGAGCCATATCCACCAACTATCCTGTGGAAATAAAAGCATTTGCTTTTAAATAATTTTTACTTCACTTTATTTATAGCTGCTTGTCTCGCTTGTAAGCCATTTTGAGGG